CAGCGCGGCGCCGGCCGCCAGCGCGCCCGCCACGCCCAGCAGCAGCGCGGCCGCCGCGCCCGCGCCGCCGCCCAGGAAGATGAACACCACGGCGCCGCCCAGCACGCACGCCTGCAGCGTCAACTGGCCGCCACGGCCACTCGCGATATATTATCTGTGCTATCTATGCACGTCCATTTTGTCAATGTATCATTGTCACGTAGAACGAGTGACTGAATCGCTCGTCCCAGTACTTGTTTAACATGGAATGAAGTAAGAGTAGGCAGTAACGATCGGTATTATTATAATCATTAACTACTTATGTAATCTTATAAAATATAATACTTATGTAAACTTTCTTCTACAAATATTTTTCGTAATTAAATAAATCACTACCAAACCGAGCAACTACTCATTTAAAATATCTTTGTTGCCCTTAAACTTTATTGCAATATTCATGGAATAAATATATAACAACAGATATATTTTATAAATACGACACGCTTAAAAGATTTACTCAGCCCAGATACCAGATAACTTATAAACTAAGAAAATGGAACAATAAACTAAAACAGCCCCACAACCTACTTTGGTTTGAAACCTTCTATTTGGCAGAATCTTGATACACCAAATTTAACTTGGCTAACAAACTTTCCATAGTTTTATGCAATTTAAGGCATACAAATTATATAACCAGCAAAATAAATGTTCTTCGGCAGAATATTTACATGTCTGAATTTACAATAGCACACTATTATGGCGGAACAGTTTCACTCGCAGCATGGCTCCGGCTGATCGTAGTGTGATACTTTATGGCTTATTTCTTATGCCTTTCTTGATAAATGCATTATCCAACACAAACATATTGTTCAAGTCAAACCCCAGTAGTTTCGGAGATAAGCAAGTACAAACAAAAAGAGGTTGCACATTGTGGAATCAACTTTAAATTCATTCATTCTCTTTCTCCCATTAAGTATACATGTAGATATTGATTAGTATTGATTTTATGAAACATAACTTCTTTAGGCTTTTGCTTAATGCTTACTTGGGTTGGGTAATGGATCACTTCTGCAATATTTGTCTACTTGGTAGCGTTGTCAATGTAAAATAAAAACAGTGCCTATCATGAAGACAATATCAAATATTTTACAGAACCTATTGTCTCTAAACTGACTTTACACAGTACAGTGTAATTCAAGCCCACATTGGAGCAGGGGAAGGGCAGCAGTTATATGCCAATATTATTATTCTATTTGGGAATGTTTCATTAATATTCAATCAAAGAAAGTTCACCTTTTGTGTTATACTTTTATATGCGATAATAATAAAGATTCCGAATATACAGCAATGAGGAAGCAATGTTATTAAATAAAGCAAGTTATTTGGTGTGAAACACAACGCTTGTCTTATGTTTCGTTGTGTGAGTGAGGTTACCGGAGTCCCAATTTGCCCCCTCCCCAATCTTATCAATCCCTGAATCCCCCATGATTCTTAAATTTCTAACCTCCAAAAGGCCGACAATGCACTTAGAACGCTTCTGATGTTTCAGGTGTTCAAGGGCGACACACGACTTACCATCAGGTGATATATATACCACATAAAAAGTCCCATAACATATTAAGAAATTATTTTCTTTGGTATACACAGTACACGGAACAAAACAATTTCTTAATTAGTACCTGGACTGTGTATTACCTAACCATTTGGTTGAGCTGAATGGTTTAATTATTTGCTTGGCCTTAACTATTTGGCGTTGCACGCCAAATTGTTAGGTCGACTGTAATTAATATTTAATTTAGGTAAATGTTATTTTCAAATGGAAAATTTCAAAGACATAATAAAACTGCAGTCACTACGGATACATATGGATAATATATAATAACTACACTGACCGGGCGAAGGCGAAGTGAGCACGGCGGTAAGTAGGTACATACCTCTTGAAAGAATAACAAGAAGAACGCGGCGAGATCATATTCCGTAATGCTGCAGCGCACGAGCTCTGCGCGCACTGCGAGGTCCTGAGGCGTCGCGTCTCTTATCACTATGTCACTCTCCATGCTCTCAGACTGCTGTTTTACCGGCAACTAGGTATTTACTTTGTCCTTATTTTGGTCACTTAAATCTACCGCATACTTACGCATATAAAATGACTAATCTACAATAAAAGTACGTCATAAATTAAATTCCTTTCCTGCTCATCAATTTGTTCTCATATTGAGTTCTCTACACATCAGGTATATAAAAATATACATGAAATTTATGATAGAGCAAAAACAAACTTTGTGTTTTTAAACTTTCAATTATTGTCATCCGTTCTGTCAGAACAGAACTGTCAAGTGTAGGAAGTCGGATCGTTCCATTACTATCTAACCAATATTGAACATAAAAGAATCATGTGGAATGGAAATGGAATTACTGTCTGTGAGCAGCAATAAGATGTATCTCGACGGTAAATTAATTAACATATATTATGTATTATAATTGTTGTTTGTAACTTATACAGGGTGACTTGTAACTCGACGTATTCCTCTCGGGAGGTGATAATACAACTAATTTCCAACAAAATTAGCCCTGAGGTCTCTGCTCCGAAAGTGACTAAGTAGGTAGTTTCTGAAATATTCAACATTTTCGGTTTTGGTGAAAAAATCTCGATCGAACTACAAAAACATTAATAAATAAAAAACTACTGGTTTGATTTAAGTGATTTTAGTTTTAATCTTTGATTGTAATGTCGTTTTAATTTGATGTCAATACATCAACATCAACAAACATTTATTAATACTAATACTACGACCTCCACGGAGGAGGGCGCTTCCGCCCTCATCTTGGAGACCTGTCTCCAAATCTCCAGGGTTGCGGACTTGAGCTCCTGCACTTCTGCAAGAAGCTCCTGACCGTTGTGTTCCTGCGCGACGGGTGCTGTTTCCATCCTCCGCTGGTCATTTAGGGCCTCCTTCAGTTCCCCTATTTGCTCCACCATTTTTAAAATCAGGTCGTCCTCCTTCCCGCCAATGTCTGTTGGTGTGGTGGCCACCAAACCCGCAACTCCGACCTCAGGGGGCCTCTGGTTTACGGACTCCTTCACCAGCTGGTAGAGGCGCTCAATGGATATATAGTATTAGCTTAGGTCAGGTTTTTTTTATATACAGCAAGAGGGGAGATCTTCATGAAGACTCATACCTCCAGAGAATAGGGAGGTGCGAGTCTGGACTCTTACCGGCTAAAACCCCTCCTGCTGTGCCAAGGTGCTCCACTGACGTGATCAGGGACCTTAATTTTACATTTCATATTTTAAGATAATTACAATAAAAACGGCATCACCCAATTTTAATTGATTTAAAATTGATCAATTTTAATTGATCTATAGTGTAGCCTTAATTAAAGGCTGCCACGACATGCATTATAAAAGAACAGGATATTACAACAAAATGCTGATGATGATGAAGAGGAAGAAATAAACAAAAGGCATAAACGTTAACGCAAGAAAGTTGAAATTTTTTTAAAATAAAAACATTCTTCTACTTTTTGAAGTCAGTTAAGTCAAAGTGCCAAAGTTCCAAAGTGTAACAACCATAGCCGCGGGGAACGTAAAAGGTTACTGTTACCGGGGCTCCAGCTCCAAGTACAGGAGTAAGAACGAGGTGGTTTTTAGTCAGTAAGAGTCTCACACTCCCGAAGACAATCAATGATTTTTTTCCTCCCGTAAAAAAAGTGTATTTTTCTGAAAATCAATTAAAATTTGAGGCTATATTTTTCGAATTTGTTGGTTAAAAGTTGGGATCTTTTTATATAGACTTTTTATATACACAATATGTAACAAAAACACTGTTGTTCCCACAGAAATATTAAAAAATATATCTGTGGTTGTTTCTTTCATGGACATAATATGTTTATTTACATTCTACGAGCACAAAAAACTTACTTAATAAAAAAAATTGGCAAGTCGAGGTGTTAAAATCACATACTCATCTATTAAAATCTACCATATTGTTTACAACATCTGATACAAGTTAATAGGTACATTTTCTATTTCGCTAAATAGCCCATAAGCTCGGCGGCTTGCTTTGACAGCGACACAAGATGCCGCCAAACGTTACCGTACCGCGGCGCATGGGCCTACCCCTTTATCCCGTTGCGGAGAACTTAACGGGTAACCGGGGCTCCGGCTCGACGTGCAGGAGAAGGAACGGGGTGGTTTTTAGTCAGTAAGAGTCTGACACTCCCTCCTGCTTCACCCAGGCGGGAGCAGTCATTCGATGATATTCCCCACTTAAAAAAAAAAACCTTTTACTTCCTTCCTACTTCCTTTCCTTCCATAATCTCCCGCACAACTTACTTTCGGTCGGATGTAATTGAATTGACGTACGACCAACTTGTGTTTTGTTTACGCAAATGTTCACCATGTCTTATGTCCGCGAAAATAGGATCAGCAGGTGTTGTAACAAATGTGTAGGGGTACAAGGTGGCCACATCGAACAGCACCTTCGTGGCCGTCAAGTAGACATTGTAATAAGTTAATGCAATACGTATGTGATTGCCTCGGTGACTTTGTTTTTCATGTAGAGTGTTAAATGTAGTGTAAACAACTCGGTATCAAGAACATTGCAACCGGAACAAACGCGCTGATAATGATAGTTTGTGCATAAAAATTCTGTGTTAACCAACATTTTCAAAGATTAATTCGTTAAAGTGCTAAAGAACAGCTGACTTCATGAACTTGTGCAGAAAAATAGATAGACACTAGACATGCGCGCAGCGCGGCGCCGGTGTGCACCGCGTAGCGGCACCGATCCAAGAAATTGGCGGGAATATTCTACTCATATGTCTAGTCTTCATGCAGTATTTGCAGAGGTAAGAAAAGAAATCATTTACTTAAACATTACAAATATTAATAATGAAATATTTAGGTAATCTAAATAATTTAGTTGAACGATTTTTATAAATGACTTGTTTTATACGTACGTATACCGATTCTTAAAACGTAGATAGAAGGAGCAACAGGGTTTTGTTATATATTTATTTATTTATTTATTTAATGCACTAACAACTAACATTACAGATACATTCCAATACGATAGTGTAGCCATCAGTCTTACCACATCTTTTAGTACTTACTTATTACCTAATTATAATTAAATTAAAACTTAACACATACCTATATACTAATACAATAAAGTTTCCCATACAAATTTAATATCTTATATGAAACACTTAAAATTATATACCTACTCACAATTAATCATAAACGAAGTCATATCATGTCGAAGGGCAACATTCATCCCTCTTCTGATGTCGGTGGAGGCAGAATTATGTTCCGTTTGCTCAGACATAATGTGGGAGGATTTGAGTATCGTGTAGTAATAGGCAAGGCATTTAGAATTAATCACTGAGTATTTTATAGGTAATCACAAGGCCACTAAGCGAAACGTAGGGCAGTTCCGTGACAACGTCTTCACTCGCCAGTCTCGCCACTATTGGCGATACTATTTAACATCTTGCATGTCTGATTGCTCAGTTTATGTATAATTATGCATGTTATACAAATAAACAATCATAAAGTGAGCTCCGCCGAGTGCGACTCTGACGCCACAACTCTGCCTAAGCGCACCAGAAATACGCTAGGTGGCGCGCTTGCGTTCTATTTAGCGTCCAAACTCATGACCAGCTCCGACACGGCCATCCTGCATGACACGTCCTCGTGTGTTAATCTGTAACCAACACATCATCGTGGCATCGAGAGCAATCTCCACTCGGCCCATTCTGACCACTACTCTATTTGTATTTTTTTTTAAGTAAGCAAAATAAAGAAACCAATAGACACTTGAAACTTTAACTTGAAGTATTTTCATCTTTACAATGTAAATTCAATCAAATCTTATTACTAAAGTACCTAGTTAACCAGCCGTCTGGCCGGAGTCATGTACCACTGACTCTATAATTACCTACATTTCGGCAATTTAGATTCTTAACGTGACCCAAGTAACTCCTCTATCGCCACGGCTCTCTAGCCGGAGGGGTATCACATAGCCACATGTGAGTATCCATCCTCTGAATGGATCTCCCGTGTGAATCCACACACGTGTACGGTTCTCAAGACCACGATCCCCACCCATAACCAAATGCGCACCGCGCACCACCGACTATTTGAGTTAACGTAATGGTTACTGGCTCGGTCGAATTTGATACGGCAGAAAAAGAGTTCAATTACGCCATGTCTTATCTCTACTCATCATCATTACTGCATGCATCTACATCTACGTCAACTGGTACATGGCTCTTTGGCATTTTACATAATCGATCATGAGCATACCTGTAGGTATGCTTATTCATTAATGATTTCAAAACATATCGGAGACCGATACCTTTGGGTCATTAACCCAACAGAGCAAGTCATGGTCATCTAATACCTATTCAATTCTAAGAGCTTTCTAATTACATCTCTAATTTCATTCGATTAGGCTCTTCGTTTTATTTCTACCAAACTATGGAATTTATTACTACTGATAAAACCAAAGAAAACCACTATTCAAAACTTGTCGTATTTTCACTAAATTCAAAGCGAAAACGACATCTAACTTTTAACCGCAACAAGTACCAAATAATCCTCTTCCCTAATAGCCAGATTCCGTTCCAAAAAGTACTCAGTACAACTCTAGAAACTCCCGAGTAGACACCTAGTGCCCTGGCTCTCAAGCTGTCCAGCAATCACATTACTCACATCCATTGCATAGATCATATCCCTCGGATCTCCCGTGTGTTATCTAGGCACAGCACTTCTGCACACGGTTCTGAAGGACATCTCCTCCCGTCCACGCAGACGCCAGCCACTAGGCACCTTTTTTCTTTCTCTTTTTTTTTCTTTTAAAAAAACGTTGCCCCACACTAGGATTTTCTCCTGTGTCGTCGGTGCGTTTACAAACATACAAGTTCACATACACATCACACCCAGACCCGGAACAACAATCTGTGGATCACACATAGAGTTGTTCCGCGCGGGAATCGAACCCGTGACACGTTGCGCGGCAGCCAGTTGCCCAACCACTGCGCCAATCGTGCAGTCGAAACCTACCCTCGCAGCATCTATTCCCCGACTCACCGTGGGACATTGCGAACTCATCTCTCCGACTCATTGGAGTGTCGCCCTGCACCGCTTATCTCAAGCATCAACGCCAACAGCTGCCTTAACAGGATCGAATCAGAGACAAGATAATTTGACAGATAACCATACAAACTGAAACTGCATAAACTCAATACGATACTAACTAATTAACGTCACACAGACCAGTTGCCACCCAGGCAA